ATCATTACAAATTGTAGATGTTTATAAATTCAGAGTTTATATTTTTTTAAATGGGTGCTTTCACCATTTTTCCTTGGTTCTGTCACGATATCCAACCAAACAGTTAGTACATTTATACCCCATGTTCCACCAGAGATTGCAGTAATTTCTCATATAAGTATGGTCTAGACTAAATCTTCTCAACCTTGGCAACATTAAAATGTGTAGACTTCAACTCCAGAATTCCTCAGACAGCATGCTAAAATACACGCAGCTTAAAGTTGAAAAGTTTGAGAAACGCTGTTATAGAACCAGGCCTAGCTGGCTTTGGCAAGTGTACAGTATGTCATGTCATACTGTATATACAAACCTTATATTTTCTTATCAAACAATATATAGTTATACAATGTACCACCAAGGGTAAATATATAAGCAAATTTATATTATAAATCAAGTTTCCCAAATATGGCTACTTCCAGAACTGGGGATTGCAATTCCTAGAATCCACATCAATAGCCATGCTGCTGGAGATTTCTGGAAGCTGTTTATACCTCTGAAAAGATGTCCAGATCTTTGGGATAGTCCCTAAACAATATTTATAGAAGAAAGCCCAGATTAATCTATCCAACTAAAATTGATCTGAAAATATAATCAATAGTACAAGATGGAGAAAACCTATATAGGCAACTCCAATCCCACCCTCTGAGGGAAATATATAAATAAATTGAATTTTATAGATAAATTGTAGTTTATAGCAATCAAGGAACAGAAACAAGGATGGAAACATCGAGGTGAATAAGGATTTTTTTTTAATACTATATCATAATATAATTTGCATTTGAGATTTTTGTTTGCATTTTTCTTATTCTGTATATGCGAGCTACTTTAGGGACCTGGATCTTACAGGACAAAAATATTCATATATTGTTTTATGAATTAATCTCTGTGACATATGCAAACATTTGGGTTGAGAACACAGACTGAAGAGGCAATTAAGCTAACTGGATGTACCATCTCTATGGGACGAATAATTAGTTTCACTTGGAGATGATTTGTCAAGTCCTTCAGTTTGCACCAGTGTGAAAATCATGCTACACCCCCTAAACACTCTCTAAAATATAGAGAAGACTTGCATCTACCTCTTCTTTGGACATCAATTATCTTACCTTTCCAAGAATTATTCTCTTTTAAAAGGGGAAAGCTGTCTTGATTATTCCCCAGTCCATCAAGGACAATCACTTTAGCACTATGGCAGGTGACTTTTCAGCAGTCAAGATTGCAATTGAGCTCCCTGATTAGAAAGCCCAGCTCCTATTTCCACCCTCATCTCCCCTTACCCCAAAGGGGAAAAAAATCATAGAGATGAATTTCAGTGGCAAAATGGCAAGGCTCTAGAGGGCTGGTTTCAGGCCGCTTTGGGGGGTGCACAAGGATTAAGACTAGAGTTGTGAGTGATCAGTCTTTGAAAGACCTCCTGCTCTCACTCCAACCCCAATTTTCAGGAAAATAATGAAAATTATGGTAATCAGCCAGTTTTGCTGCTGAACTGTATTGGTACTGGATCAGCATTTGGTCCATCAGTTATTCATACTGATGCAGCTCATCAGCTGGAACTTAATACTTAAATCAGTTAAAATGCATTGCTTTCCTTAACTGGTGCCATCACTGTTGGTGACATAGATTCTACCTTGGAACTGTGCCTTTTGGGTAAGAGAGTTATTTTATGGAGCTCCTGTCTCTGAGAGGTCAACCAAACCGCATAAATGGAAAAATATCCATGGAGCATCAACATTTAAAAAAAAAAAAATGGTTTCAGAAAGCTTGAAGAACAGATTATTTAAAAGTGCATTGTGTTGGTTTTATTCATTATTTAAAAGCACGCTGACTGCTATTATTAAACTGAATGCACTTTATTTCTGTTTCATCTGTGCAGCTGAGACCACAGAGTTGGCCATTTTCTTAGCACTGAGCAAATTGTTCCAACATTTGTTCACAGAAAAAGATATAAAATCAAAAACACCAACATAATGTTGTAGGCTTCTTGCCCTTGTTACAACACCAAAAGAGCTAAAAGCTTGTTTTGTGTGGGAACATCTGCTTGGGCATGGTAGCAAAACAGAATGTCAGGGTACCAGATGTAATGGGTTCATTCTGATTCACCTACACAATTTCCTTACATGTCTGGTGACAGCGGTAACAATTATTTCACTTCCCACAGTTCTTCGGGGAGGACAAAAAGATCTTTAAACCGCTTATTCTTATGTTCTTATGGTCTGCATCCTAGATATGTCCTACCTTTTCATTTCATCACAACAGAGATAACACCCAACACAATCTTTTAGCTCATTGGTTCTCAACCTGCAATCTGTGGACCCTTGTGGGGGGTGGCTGTGATGTCATCACAGGGGGTCCACAAACAAAAAATGTTATGATTTAAATCTTGAGTTAAGTCTTGGGGGTCCGCGACCATGGTGGGTGGCCACAACAGATATTTAAAGAGGGTCCATGGTAAAGAAAAGGTTAAAAACCACCGTTTTAGCTAATTAAACAGCCTGTGGTTGACTTGCATTACACAAAGCAAACGATGGGGTTGAAATAATTCCTAGGGCCTTAAGAAGGATTTAGCTGGATTCCTCTCACATCTTCTTAGAGACCAATCTCAAATATGGGTTTTAGGTATAGCTAAACAGCCCTCAGTTTTGTGCAGCAGGGAACTGCTAAGCAATGTTTGGTGGTAGCAGTTGGAAAGCGGCCTCCATTTTGCCTCTGAGTCAGCTGTGCTTTTTGCCCACTGAGCTCTTTATAGCAGATGCTCCCAGGATGAATGTCTCATCCTGGCTTTAGGTATTCAGCGATGAAAAAGACAAATCCAAAACGATAACAAGAAAATGAGATTAAAGAGGAGCTCAGAACTCAGGGCGTTTTATTGATCAATGCCAAATTGAATTTTAGAGGTACGCTTTCTGTGTTGTTTCATCGAAAGGGAGGGGGGAGAAACGTGGGAGGCAAGGTAGCCCTAAGATTGCTGGCCACTCATTTTGCCCTTTGCTTGGTCCCTAGTGACATATAAAAACTGAGTCAAATCACTGGCTTGGAAGGTTTTTGGAAATTAAAAATTATTGATTCTTTTGTCACCTTGGCTCACTGTTAAGTTTTAATCTGGTGGTAATTTTTTCAATGCGGGTCTCTCTTTCGTTCTATTTGTTACACCCATTGCAATGCAGGGGTGACTCAGGGCATGATTTAAAAAGGTCATTGTGACGTACATTAAAAAACAACCAGATGGATTGCATCATTATGGCCAGCATTTTGGCTTTTTTAAATCATACCCTATGGACACCTCTGTCTGATGCTATGTACGTTGATCTCTATAACACACGGGGAATACATGCATAGCTTTTCATTAAATCCTTTTTGAAAGCATTTTAAAAAGAAGGCTCAATTTTGACTTCTGCAGAACGGGAGATAGAGTGCTCCTAAATTATGCACAGGGAATGTTCTGTTTCTGAAAAGCTGTTATTTCAAGGTGGCTTGAATCCAATCCTATGTGGTCTACTTTTTAATTGGAATTGGAATTCTAGCATTTTACCAATGGACACCAAATTGGCAAGCATTCTTATGCATTAAAGAAGATTGCCATTCTTTGCTTATCTGGCTGGAAGTAATTCCCAAATAAAATGTTCTAAGGCTGTTCCAAGAAAAAAAAGTAAAGATTGCAATGTATCTGATTCTGAGTTTGTATTCTGGTTTGGGAATTAAAACACCTAGACAACAGAGAATTTTAGCAAAAGGAGAGGGCAGAACTGATGGTCTTGACTTACACTCTCCCAGAATGATGTGAGTGCTCTGTTGCCATCAGACTAAAAGTCCATAAAATCCAGTATTCTATTTTCAAAGTAGGGCAGGTATTTTGGGAAGCA